CCCCAGACTCCAGCAGCCGGGGCCAGGGGAGGAGGGGCCTGTGCAGGGGCCCAGGAAGGGGGGCCTCTCCCGAGCGACACACCCTCAGACTCCCGTCTCAGCCCAGACCAGCCAGTCTCCACCCCAGGACCCCAGCACATCTGAGGAGGGGGAGCCCTTCACTGTCCCCACCCCCCTGTCACATGTGGAGACAGGGTGCTGCCCTCTTGGCGCTGCTCTGGGCTCTCGGGCCACTGGTCTCGAATGCAGATGCTCGGCCTGGTCAGCTGAGGTGCTCGGGCCTTGTGGTCCCCACCGCCCGGGAGGGACAGACACTGGAGGGCTGCCCGACTCCCACAGGCTGGAGCCCTGGATCCAGTCAATGAAACGGCTGATTGAAAAGCGTCCGGGAGGTGAACGCCGACGGGCACACAGTAACCGGCTGACGCGCCTGCTTCTACCCCTGACGGCGCGGGCTTCTCTGGGAGCAGACCCAGCTTGCCCGGAGGGCCCATGCCTCCCGCCAGACGAGGTTGCACTTGTATGCGAGGCTGGAGCACAGGGGTGCACAGAGCCTGTCCTTGAGGGGACCCCCAGGGGCTGAGAAGGGGCAGGACGGGGTCATCCACACTCTACTGGGCAGCACAGTGACTGGGGCCATGGAGCCCACGCAAGTGCCCTGGGGGCACCAGGAGCAAGCCCCCTCGGCAAGCCTTGACCCCACCTGCCCGGGTCCTGCAGCCAGGGGACCCTCCAGCTGGGACATGGGCACCAGGTCTGTTTCCTCCCAGGAGCGTTGAGGCAGGGACCCCAGAGCTGGCTGTGGGAGGCGAGGCCGCCGTGAAGGGGGACAGGGCCCAGCTGTGTTGGCAGGTCCAACAGAGGATGCAGACAGGAAACCGTGGGCCGCGGAGCATCCACATCTGCCCGTGAAGCCAGCGTTTCCTGGGCTCACGTGTAGGCTCCTCCGGGGCATCAGGTGGGCTCCTGGGCAGGTTCAAAGGCATGAGGTGACTGAGGAGAAGAGCCGTGGGGAGTCGGGGCAGGGTCCCCACATTTGTGCTGATGGGGAACTTCCAAGGAAATGCTCGTCGAGGTTCTATCACGACCACGCTACGGCCGTCGGCGAGCTGTGGGGTTCCCATGGGAGACGGCCTGGGGTCCCCAGAGTCAGCTAGGGACTGCTGTGTGTGGTGCCCGGAGCCACTGGAAACCCAAGGTGCTGGCCTGAGAGCATCAGCCCTGGGCTGCAGCCGCCCTGCCAGGCGCGGGTCCTCCCGGGGTGGGGTCCCAGGGTCAACTGGCCCCTCAAGGGCAGGAACCAGACCAGCCCCTGGTGCCAGGGCCCAGGAGGGCCCTGTGCCCTGCCCCGTCCCTGATGTTAGCAGGAAAGTTGCGAGTCTCTCACTGCTGGGCGTGACATCAGCTGAGGCTGTTTGTGGAGGCTCCTTGTCAAGTCGGGGACCGTTCCCTCCATCCCTGGTTCATGAGAGTGATTATTGTGAGTGTGGGACCTTGTCACACGCTTTCTCTGCATCCGTTGGTGCGACCGTGTGGCGTTTCATTGTTAGCCTGTTGACGTGATGGATTCCGTTAGCTGATTTTCAGATGGGGAACCAGCCTGCAGACCCAGGATAAGTCCACTTGGTTGTGGTGTGTACGTTTTTTATGTGTTGTTGGATTCCATTTGCTAATATTTTGCTGAAGGTGTTTGCATCGATGTTCACGAGAGCCCTTGGGCTGTGGTATCTTTCTTGTGAGGCCTTGGTCTGGTTTTGGTGTTAGAGTAACGCTGGCCCCCGGGGCCCGCAGGACCCGACAGGGAAAGGGAGCAGCCCCCCTGGAGACCCTCCCCACCTTCTCCTAAATCGTCCTCCTTTAAAATGACTAGAAATTTCCCAGCAAATTAGATGCTGTGCCCAGAGGGGGAGGAAGCAGGCGTCACTATAGAAACCATCGCCTTGACATGCGTGGACCTGGCATTTCGGGGCTGCAAATAGGTCGCTGGGTGGACACTGCCAGCTCTGCTGTGGCCCTTACCTTCTGGGCCAAATGGCCCTGTCCACCCGGAGCCCCAGCCACGCCTGGGCTTGGACCAGGCCAGGGGGCGGCTCGGTTGTGCCAGAACCACAGAGCGTCAAAGAGAAACAGATCGTATGCATGGATAGGTCCTGCAGCAGGGAGGATCCGGGGTGAGCTGAGCTCGGCTTCTCCAGAGGAAGGCAGGAGACTGAAGGCCAGTGCTGAAGGGAGGGCACTGAGGGCACTGGGGGCCGTGGGGCCAGCCCCCTGGGTTGCTGACTGCACTTGCCCAGGGGAGAGAGAAGCTTCTCACCTTCAGGACAGGAGGCGGTGGTGCAGTCGGAGCACGGCGCCCACGGAGTTGGGCCCTGACCTCCCGCGTGTCCCCCAACGGGGACTGGGAGAGGGAGTGTCTATACTCAGAGTTGCTCCCAGGCCCCGGAGGAGACAGTCTGGGCGGTGGAGGAGTCGCGTCTCAAGGGCAGAGAAGAAGTGATAGTGGCAAGCTAACGTCCCTGCTCTGAGGGGTCCAGGGCCACCTGCCGACACCAGGCTTGGGCTGGAACAAACAGGAAATTCTCCTGGCAGTGCTGAGCATTTTAAGGGGCACTGGGGTCATCGCGGGCACTTGGCCATGAGCTGTCAGCAGCCGCACTGGTGTCTGGTCGATCTCACTGCGGCTGTTTGGCCATCAGTCCTGTGGTTCCCAAGGCTCATGGCGACCCACAGGCGCTTCCGCTCCCCGGCTCCTCGGCAATGCGCTCTGCCGCTGGCTCCCCCGGCCCCTGCTCAGCTCTGGCGCCCCGTGCCTTCGTTGGGGGCCGTGCTTCCCTGCCTCCTCGCCGACCCCACGCTGAGCTAATCCTCCTTCCTCGCTTTGGTCCTAACTCGCCTCCGAGGAGAGAGGCGCCTTGCTCTTGGCCGAGGAGGGCGCCGGAGGCCCGCTCACGTGGACCAAGGCCCTGATGGCCTTCTCTGGATGCCCCGCAGATGGACCGTGGCCCGGCGGCGAGTCCCCGGTCACCTTCCTCCGCACAGAAGAGGGCCCGGACAACTCCTTCCCCAAGACCATCCCCCTGATCCAACAGTTGCTAAACTCCACGGAGTTCACGCAGGACCCGGCCGCCTACTCCCGGCTGGTGGCCGTGCTGGTGTACACTGCCGAGCGGGCCAAGTTCGCCACGGGAAATGAGCGGCAGGACTGGATGGAGCTGTTCATTGACACCTTCAAGCTGGTGCACAAAGACATTGTGGGGGACCCCGAGACTGCTCTGGCGCTCTGCTGAAGCGCAGGCCGCCTGTGTGCAGAGATGGCCAGAAGTGCCCCCACCCAGCTGTGTTAGCTCCCTGGGGCTGCCCACTGTACATGGGGGGCTCAGGGCAGCATGGATCTGTCTTCTCCGTCTGGGGCCGGAAGTCCAAAGTCTAGGTGTCACAGGGCCATGCTCCGTCTGGGGCTCTGGGGAGGCTCTTCCTCCTCTCCCGGCTCCTACCTCTGCTCCGTGTCACGTGGCCTCCCCGCTCCTGTAGCCTGATGTCTCTGCCTCTCTTGTAAGGACACTTGCGGAGGCATTTAAGGCCCGCCAGGTAACCCAGGATAGTCTCCCCACGTCAAGGTCTGTGATTTGATCCCATCCGCAGAGTCCTTTTTTGCCATACAAGGTTGATTTCACAGGCTCCAGGATTAGGACGTGGTGCCTTTTGGGGGGCCCTTATTTAGCCAAAAAGGGAAAGGGAAGAGCAGAGCCTAGTAAACAACCGCACAACTCCCAACTTAACCTCCCACCTCTGTGCCCGCCGTCACTGTGCATTGTCGTCGGCCTCCCGGTGATGCATTGAGGAAAACTCCCCCAGACCAGCTGCCCCCGCGCGTCCGTCTCTGCTCCTGGGGACCTGGAAGTCCAGGGGCACCTAGAGAACTTGCGAGACGTTTTCTGCAAGTTCCAGCTGCTGAATGTAAAGCAGAAGCTGCTCTTCGTCTGCACTTCCGCCCAGATAAGCTACATCATTAATAAGCTCCTTAGAGACAAATCTCTGCCAGAAACGCCCGCTCCCTCTGCCGGCCGCCCAGCACCCGGGGAGTGTCCTTCAGATGCTGTGAGCACCTCGTAAACATTCTATAAAGGCTGAGAAACCAAGATCGTGGATGCGTTGCTCTGGTCGAGTGTGGTGCTGGGGTGACTTGCTGCTGGCTGGGGCTGGACCGTAGCCGTCGCTGCGCAGGTGGCCACCCGGAAGCCGGGTCCTGGGCTCAGGCCCTAGTTGTGGTGCTGCACCTCAGGATCTCCTTCCCAGTGGGATCCCCGCGCTCCTGGGGGTTGGCACACCTGGGCTGTGACCAGAGGCCTCTGCACCCACGTCCAGGAGTGGGGCCTGTGGGGCTGAGGAGCTGGAGACAAGCAGGGAGAGCAGCCCCATCCCTACCCATCCCCAGTGGTGATTAGAGTTGAGGTCTTGGGCAAGGCCACAAGGCAGGGCCTGGCTGTGTGGCCGTGCTGGGTGGGCTGTGTCCCAGCCCGTGGTCGCATGAGTGTGGAGAGCTGGTTTTCAGGCTGGGCCGTGGCATCCATGTTCCCCAGAGGCCCAGCCTCAGCCCTGGCTGCAGCCTCACCCCCACGCTGTCTGGCATGTTCAGGGCTGGTGACCACCAGATGGGGACAGGGGTCTCCTCAGGTGACAGGGAGTCACCTGGGCTGCCGCAGGGGTCTGGCCATACCTGTGCCACTGCCCACCAAAGCCTTGTCCAGTTGGAGTGGACGTGGGCTCCTCTTTCCGATGCTCCGAGGCCAGTGAGATGTGGCCCAGCCAGTGCTCTGGGACAGGGAAAGTGAGGGAGTCACAGCCGGAGGTGGGTCCTTGCGTCTGGGGGTCTTCAGGGCTGGGGGTCTTCATGAGGTCTTTTTACACAAGTACAAATTGATGACAGCCCCCTGCCCCTCTCTCCCAACCCCACTTCCCACAGATCGTGGCCCTTTTGGGGGTATCCAGTTCTTGGGCTTTATGGACCCCTTCCCACCCACAAGGGCCTGAGGAGGCCACTGGGCAGAGATGGTGCTTGGATGGTGGAAACGGGCCCCTCAGCCCTTGGCTTTGGGGTGGTTTCCTGCTGGGATGGTTATGTGTCTGAGGAGATGGGGTGGGATGCTGGACCCCTGCCCAGCATGGGTGATTTTGGGTGCAGACCCTCCCAAGCCCCAGTGTCCATGTGGCTCCGGTGAGCAAGGGTTGCATAAAGAGACGGAGCACAGCAAATGGCCAGAGTGGGCTTGGCCAGAGCGGAGTCTGGCCTGGGCCGTGTGTGGCCACAGAGGGGCGCGGCCAGGGAGGGGCCAGGGCAGGGCCGTGGGGGCCTCACCTGGATCGCCCCGCCCACCACCCCGTTTGCCCCCAGAGCTGTACGTGGCCCAGTGCACGCAGCGGCCGGTGGACATCGTCTTCCTGCTGGACGGCTCCGAGCGGCTGGGCGAGCAGAACTTCCACAAGGCGCGGCGCTTCGTGGAAGAGGTGTCCCGGAGGCTGACACTGGCGCGCAGGGACGACGACCCGCTCAACGCGCGCGTGGCGCTGCTGCAGTTCGGGGGCCCGGGCGAGCAGCAGGTGGCCTTCCCGCTGACCTTCAACCTGACGGCCATCCAGGAAGCGCTGGCCGGCGCGCGCTACCTCAACTCCTTCTCGCACGTGGGCTCGGGCATCGTGCACGCCATCAACTACGTGGTGCAGGGCGCGCGGGCAGGGGCGCGCCGCCACGCCGAGCTGGGCTTCGTGTTCCTCACGGACGGCGTCACGGGCAACGACAGCCTGGAGGAGGCGGTGCACTCCATGCGCAAGCAGAACGTGGTGCCCACCGTGGTGGCCGTGGGCGGCGACGTGGACGCGGACGTGCTCTCCAAGATCAGCCTGGGCGACACGGCCGCCATCTTCCGAGAGAAGGACTATGACAGCCTGGCGCAGCCCGGCTTCTTCGACAGGTTCATCCGCTGGATCTGCTAGTCCCCCGGACCCCAGACCCCGCCTCGTGCCCTCCGCCCCACCCTGGCCCTTTAGTTCCCCCGCACCCGCGGGCGCCGTCCTCCTGTCCGTGGTGCTGCTCAGACCCACCCAGAGGTCCTGCGCGCTGCGTGCGGCCTCGGTCTCTCCATGTGTGGTGTGAAGTCAGGAGGACCTCGCCCACCCCCAGCTGCTCCCAGGGATCCCGCAGCCCTGAGCCCGAGCCCACGGCCCCTCCTCTCTGTCTCCCACTCCCTGCGTTCCTCGCCATTCACGGACCTCAGAAACTTCCCAGAGCCACTCCAGCGGCCAGCGCTCCAGACCTGCATCCACAGGCCCCTTGTCCCCTTGGCCTCCCTCAGCCCAGCCTCATCCCAGGACTCGCATCCACCCCTCCAGCCCCTCCAGCAGCTCTCTGAGCCTGCCCCCTCCCAGCCCTACTCTTGGGTCTCCCCTTCACCTCTGGGGTTAACCTGCCCCAGGTCAGACAGCTGTGCCAGCAGGCCCAGCATGTCCGTGTGTGCACACACCCCAATCCAATAAAGGCTTTGAACCCCCTCCTGCTCCCCAGTTCTATGTGTCTGTGCCCACCAGGGACCCCCTCAGGGCAGCCAGTGGGACGCTCAGCCCGTTCCTATGCCCACCAGGCTTCACCATACCCCCAGGGCCCCATCCCCCCCACTTGCCCTGTGCATGCAGTGGTGCCCGGCCTGGCCTCCTCTCTTAGGGGCAGGTGCTGCCTCCAGGCGCTGGCCACCCACACCATCTCCAAGTGCACAGACTGGACACCTCAAGCGTGGAATCCACCCTGTCTGGTCGGCTTTGGGCTGAAAAGGATACTGCTTGATCGATGAAGTCTCTCTCTATCCCCAAACCAGAGCCAACGTGCTTTAAGAATGTTTGTTGGTTTGTATGAAAATATTCTGTGGACAGATAGATAGATTCTTTTTTGCTCTGGCAACTTCAGTGACCTTCTGTTCAGACCCCCGGGTCTGAAGCTCGCCCTCTGGGAAGTGCCGTATTAAACCACTGGTTCCCGCAGGCAGATGCTCTGCTCCTGTTGTTACTCTGTGCTAGGGCTGCCACAGCCGAGTGGCTTGAACCACAGAGATTGCTTGTCTCGTGGTCTGGAGGCCAGAGGTCTGAGACCAGGTGTCGGCAGGCCCGGGCTCCTGTCGGAGGCTCTAGGGGAGGATCTGTTCCAGGCTCTCTCCAGCTCCTGATGGTTCCTTTGACTTCTCAGCATTACTCGATCTTCTCGAGGCGTTCTCCCTGTGCATGTCCGTGTCCACATTTCCCCTTCTTACAAGGACACCAGTCACTACAGGTTAGGGCCCACCGTACCCCAGTCTGACCTCATCTCAACTAATTCCATCTGCAAGGACTCTATTTCCAAATAAGGTCACATTCTGAGGTACTGGGGGCTAGGACTTCAACATGTGAATTTGGAGGACACAATCAGCCCAGAACATGCTGACACCTTGCTCATCCCCTTTTGGGGATGATGAACTCATTTTGCGGTATTTCCAGCTCTCTTGACATCTGCCTACACAGCCTGCAGCTGGAGGGCAGGGCTTCAAACCAGTGTTTTCTCTTCCCCTGCCTCCATTTCCCCTCGCCCCAAAGAACCTACAAAGTGCCAGCAAGAGAAAGAGAAGAGGCCTCAGACAGCAGCGCTTGCCTGTGAACTTCCTGGGGTCGGGGTGGGGGAGGCAGAGGCCCCTCCCTCCACACACCCCGAGTTCTGCCCACTGAGCCCTGCCCAGGTCCACCTCTGCAAGGGAAAGGACGTCCCTCTCTGTGACACCGGCCCCTGTGTGTTCAGCTCTGACCCTCAGGAGGCGAGAACATCTGTCCCTTTCGAAGGGACTTATGAGATGGATAAGCAGGTGGGTGGGGCTCTTTGAGGGTGGAGGCCAGCTCCGAGACCCTCAGAGTGCTCGCCACACTGGTATCCGAAGAGTTCTCTGCTGGGGGCCCCAAACTCCCCCAAGGGCAAGGGTGCCAACCCCCTCTCGGGGCTGCCCTCTGAGCCCACATGTCTGAGGTCCAGCCCCAGCAGGCCCCACCTCCCCAGCCCTCAGCTCCTCGGAGGGACCCTCAGACACACTGCCTGCCATGTGTGATGTTTGAGTTAGGATTCTGTGACGGTTTCATACAGGACCTTTCACTCCATACACACTGGACACCCTCAGAGCCTCTACCATGGCCCAGTTGGTTGGGCCCCCTGCTCTGCCTACTCATCCCCACTGGGTCCCGCTCGGACATGTTTCCTGTCCCCTGAGAGAAGTGGACATGAGTGAAGGAGACTCAGCAAAGATTAACCCAGATGGGCTTGCCTGGGGCAAAGGTCACAGAAGGAAGTCAGGGCAGACAAGGCACACAGCAGAGTGGCCACAGAACCCACCCAGGAAAGCGAGGGGTGCCAACCACGAGGCATCACCAGCATATAGTGTCCAGGAGTGGAGGTCCCAGGTCCCTGTGAGAGCCCAGGGAAGTCCCCAGGTCTCAAAAGTGTGCACAAGGCCATGGGTCCCCTTACCCAGGAACAAGACACTTACTCTGTGACCTCTGAGACACAGTGTACAAGGTGGTCCCTTGGCCTGAGTGGATGTCATGCCTGTCAGTCCCACTCCCAGCAGGAAGGACAGATCAGACCAGAGTGATCCAGGTCCTCAGAGTCTCAGTGAGGGGCGTGGACCAGCCATGCTCCCATTTCTCAGAGTGGCACAGCCCCTCACTAACGTCCCCACACTAATGTCTCCTCACCAGGGTTCCCTCACCAATGTGCCCACACCGACATCCCCTCACCAGCGTCCTCCCACTAACGTGCCCTAACTAATGTCCGTACATAACATCCCCTTACCAACGTCCCCTCACCCACACTAATGTCCCCACACTAATGCCCACATTAAATGTCCCCTCCCTAACATCCCCCAACAGCATTTCCACACAAACATCCCCTCACTGATGACCCTCACAAACGTCACCATTCTAACGTCCCCACACTAACGTCCCACATTAACCTTCCCTCATTAACATCCCATCACAAAAGTCCCCTCACCAACACCCCACACAAATGTCATCTCACCACTATGCCCTTATAAACATCCCCACACCAATATTCCCTCACTAACATCCCTCACTAACGTCCCCTCAATAACATCCTCTCACCTATGTCCCTTAGTAACAACCTGTCACCAACATCCCTCACCAATGTCCCCTCACTAAATTCTCATCACCAATATCCCCACATTAACATCCCCTCACCATTACTCCCTCACTAATGCCCCCTCAATAACATTCACTCACCAATATCCCCTCACTAATATCCCCAACTAACGTCGTCTCACTAGTATAGTCTCACTAACGTCTCTCACAAATGTCCCCTCAACAATTCCCTCACCAACATCCCCACAGCAACATGCCCACACCAACAGCCCTCACAAACATTGCTCTACCAATGCGCCCTCACAATGTCCCCCACGAACATTCTTCACCAAAGTCTCCACACCAATATCCTCTCACTGTCATTCCCTCAATAATTTTCACTGACTAATGTCCCCTCATTAACGTCTCTTCACCCATGTCCCTTCACTAAGATCACCACACTAACATCACTTCACCAACATCCCCATACTAATGTCCCCTTAACAAAATCCCCCACAATGTCCCCTCACAAACTTCTCCACATTCATGTCCCCTTCCTAACATCCCCCCAATTATGTCCCCTCAAAATCATTCCCTCAATAACGTCCATTGCCAACCTCCCTCACAAACATCACCTCACAAACTGGCCCTCACAAATGTCCCCACAATAAGGTCCCCTCACCAAAGTCCCCTCTCCTACACCCCTTCACCAACATCCCTCATACACATCCCCTCACCAACATGCTCTCACTAATAACCCAAGGCTAATGCCCACCTCCTGACCCACGAAATGGAAGGGGGAATGTAGGATACTCCCAGGCCCATCCCGTCAAAGCGGGTCCCAAATGACAGCCAGACCATCCAACTCCTCTGTGCTCCTGACGTAAGGGCCGTCTCCCTTCCCCGGCCCCAGGACTCACCTCCTGGTAGCGGTGGACAACCCAGTGCTCAACACGCTGGGTCATATCCCACAGCAGGCTCCTCCAGGGAGGCCTGACACTCGGGCAGACCCCTGCCGTGCCGCCTGACAGCTATGCAGGGCCGCATGGGGGCTCCTGCTCCCTGCATCTGGGAGAGCCCATGTCCTCCGTGGTCACCGAGGAGAAGGGGGACGAGGAGGCCCCCTGGGCACACACTCAGGACCAGAGGCTCAGGGCTAGGCCGACCTTCGGCCCCACGAGCACTCCCCAAACCACTTGGACTCTGGGGAGCCAGACCCAGCTCCGCTCAGCGGCCTTCTCTGCACCTGTGTCTGCAGCCCCGACCCACGGATGGCACCCCCACAGAAAATTCCCAGGAGGAGACAAGGTGGAGAGAGCTGAGCAGGAGCTTATCCTCAGGGCAGCAGGGCCCGCAGTGAGGGGACAGCTGTGGGGCGCGTGGCCTCACAGGCCCCTCACATGCTGGGTGGTGGGGGTCAGCCGAGCTGCCAGCCCTGGAGGGCAGTTCCTCAGAAAGAGCCGGCACCGCCGGGCAGGGCACTGCCCCAGCTGAGTTTTCCTGTTGGTGGTGTGACTTGGCCTCTGCTCTCCTTTGCCCGGGTGGTTTCCCTTCCATTCAGCCTCCTTTCCTCACGCCCGTCCCTGGAGAGGCCACAGGGTCATGAGGCCACAGAGGCCACAGAGCGCCCAGCAGCTCTCCCACAGCGGCTCCCAGTCCCCACAGCCACCTGCCTCCTAGAGGCTCACCTGACCTCAAGGGCCAAAGAAGCTGCCATCCTCCCTGCCCCGAAAAGCTCACCTGCTTGCACCCCTGGACCAGGGCTGGCGGCCGGCAGGGAAGGGTCCATGGTCTTCCCAGGCCCCCGGGAGGAGATGTTACCGTAAACAATGACACCTACCCAGTCCCTGAGACCATGAGTGATGAGGGAAGGGGGCCCAGTGCTGGCCCAGCCTTGGTCACAAGGAGTGGGACAGATCCAGCTCACAGTGGCCTGGGTCCAGTGTGGGTCTCCAGAGGCACTGGGACAAGAGGAAGGAGGTGAAGACGCCAGCTGGACGCCTCCTGGGGTCGCTGAGCAGAGCCCGTAGAGCCTGTGCCAACGCTCGGGTCGCAGCCCAGCTCCGACCTGAAACCGTGCCGAGCCTCAGCCTCTCCACCCATAAAGCCCAGGGTGGGGGGCGGCTGATGGGGAGCTGAGGCCAAGCCTGTGGGATGAACCCAAGCGAGGCACATGCCCTGGATCGGGGAGGCCCTTGATTAGAGTCAGCTCCTCTAGCCAGGGTCGGCAGCACACGGTGTGTCAACTCCTCATTTCCTGAGACCCCTCTGCTCCCAGTGTGACCCCCACTGGCCTGCTCGATCAGCAGGGGCAAGGGAGACCCTGGGTGTGTTTCGTATGAAGTAGTACTCCATCATGCGTTTGTTGCCAGCAAATTCAAGCCACAAGGGAAGAAATACAGCCAAGGTACTGGTGACCCTCCCCCTGCAGACCCTCCCCCAGAGTCACCACGGCTGGGAACCCCCAGGAGCTTTCCTTGCATTTGCGCACACGCACGTACACGTGCTCACACACATGCACACGTGCATGCAGACAAGCAGACTCACCACACACGTGCACACACTGGCTCTCTCCAGGGTGCGCCAGCCTGTTCAGTTTGATTTGTAGGAGCTTTTTATGTTGGTCAATGATAACTCTTTGCCTGTTACAGGGGTTGGATTTTGTCTCCTTCCAATAGGATTCTTGTCATTTCCCTGGGTTAGGATGTCTTTTACCAGAAACAAGTGTTTAAGGTATTTGGGGTCTCCCCTTGCTTAAGAAGGATGTACTCTCGAAATTATTTTCTTTTAATATCCTATATTGTTGTCTAGTAAGTACATTCATACTTTTTGTTTTTTACGTGTAAGTAACCATCTGGAAAGAATTTGAGGGTGTGGGGCCACAGCAGGCGCAGCTGAGGCAGGAGATGCCCCCAGAAGGAGCTGGAGGCTGGTGGGTGTCAGGACTTAGTCTCGTGCTCAATAGAGACACAGGCACATGAAATGACCCCAGAAAAGGAGGTAGAGCATCAATGACGTGAAAAGACGGCCGGCCAACCTCAGAGAGAACAAAAGACGTGAAGCCACAGGACGCTCACCTTCCACCTCTCAGGGCAAAGGCCCCAATTTGACAACATGCTGTTGGGAAGCGTATCAGTCAGCGACTGCTCTGTAATGACCAGCCACACAGTCTCACGGATGGATGGACAGTTAGCATTTATTCCACTCATGGACCAACCGGGGCAGCTCCACTTAAAACTCTGGGGATCGTCTCAGTCCCGACTCACACCGTGGGGCTGTGGTCAGTGGGGAGGCTCCACGCCCTGTGCGTCCATTCTGGGGCTCAGGCCGATGGCAGCAGGCGCTCAGCAAAGGTGTTCTGGGGGTGGAGGTCAGAAGCCCCCAGAGGGGCAAGCAGAGACAAGTGAGCCTCCCACGGCAGGGCAGGCACTGCGTGCTGTCCCTTCAGCCCACATCCCATCAGCCAACGTGAGTCGTGTGGCTGAGCCCAATGTCTACAAGCCGGGGACACACTCCACCTTCAGTGCTGAGAACTGGGACGTGGGGGACATGGGGGGACATGGGGCACGCAGCAGCACAGCAGCTGGGAAGGCGACGCTGCACGACTCAGCAGTTCCAACAACCGTGTGAGCCTCACACAGGACTTCAGCAATGCCAGAACCAGACACGACCCACGCGTGCACCAGCAGGTATAAACAAAGCACTTTCCCTGCAGGGAGCACGCGGTCACCCCACACCCCAAGGAGGACGGGGACTCGCACAAGGAGGATGGGGACTCGCACAGACGGTGCTGAGGGAGGCAGCCAGACACCAGGCGGGGAGCGTGCGAGCCCTTCATTTAAAAGTCAGCTAACAGAGAACACTGAACCCTTGTGCCTGGTGGCTCTACAGGAAAGCAGGGGTGCGGTCGCCATGGGGCAGGGTTGTGGGGGTCAGAGGTCAGGAGGATTCCATGATGGGGAGATGGCCTCCTAGGACACACTTTGTCACAAATCGTTGAGCTATCAGTCACTGTTTTGAGCACCTTTCTGAATGTGTCTTATATTTCACAGTGAAACGGTTAAGAAAATACAGGGAAAAGTACAACATATGGTAAATCGGAGTCTCGAAACACTGAGACATGGGTCTCAGGCCACCTCATGCAGTAGAAATGCAATTCAGCGTATAACCTGCTCTATTTGTGGAGTGAAGGAGGAATTAAGAGTTTATATCCACACGTGTTTGTGTCACATAAACAAACACTACAGGGCACAAAAGAGGGGGTTCAGTGATTTCAGGAAGAGGGTACGATGGGGGCCTGGTGGGACCGGGTGGCGAGGCTTCTCCACAGGACTCGCTGCATTATCCTGGGCTTGTACTGCATCCCAGCATGGCCTATTTGAGAAGACGAAACGGAAACCTCCACCTGCAGCTGGTGGTGACTGGTTCCCCCACAGCAGAGCCAACCCTCGCTCACTCATGGCTCGAAGCTGGGCCTCCCCAGGTGTCCCCCACCAGGGTCGGACCACTGCAGCCCACACCCCACTGCACACCTCCTGCCCTTCTCTCCTGGGAGTCCCCATCCAGGACCCCGTGGCCCTGCCTCCGTCACGGCCATCACGCTTGGCTTGGTGGCACCTGGACCTGGGGCTGCCCGGGGCGGGGCTCGGTCTCCACTTGCTGCCCCAGCCCTGGGGCTATCACCAACACCCTCCACCCCCATCCCTCCCGCCCAGGCCCTCCAGGGGGATGTGGCAGAAGGCAGAGGGGCCGTGGCCAGGAGATAGGAGAGCCACCCCCCGGGGACCCCCATCATCAGGCCTCAGCCCCCTGAGCTTCCACTGGGAGAGAAGTCAGGGCCTGGCACACGGCACCCACCCTTCCCAAGACCCTGGGTCCAAGGCTTCACCCCCTCCCAGCCAGGACATGGGAACTTGGCCCAAGTGTCCCTGTCACCTCCCAGGAACTCTCGGCTCACCTGCTCCTCCTCATCCTCGCCTACCCCGCGAGTAACTGGGACCCGGCCACCCCCCTTCCCCACCTCCCCCAGATGCTGGCCCACCGCTTCCCTACCCATCAGGGAGTGCATCCCAGGATGTGAGGGGAGGAGCCCTGCTGTCCCCGTGGGGATTTCTGTCCCATGCATGACCCAGAGGCCACCTTGCTCCAGGCACCCTGCGCTGAGTGACCTGTGGCCAGGCTCAGGCCCTGGTGGCATCTCACACATCTGTGGGACCCTGGAGCCGGTGTGTCACCTTGCACTGCGCCCCTACTTCCTCCAACCCCGTCTCCCCACACTCACTCATCACAGGGTCCCCCATCCCTGCACACTCATCTCGGCCCTTCCCTCAACCCCAAACACACAACCAGGCACTGGCGTGTCATGACTTTACTGGAGGCCACAGGTGACAGAGGGTGACACCACCAACCCCAGATAAGCTCCCACCCAGTCCCCACACCCACCCCTCTGGGCCCCATGGGGACCGAGTTCAGAGGCTGCCCTGTCCGATCAGCGAGGCTGGACCCTATCGAGAAGGAAGAGGGGGTCGCTGAGGGGCGCAGAGTCCTGCAAGGCTGCCCGCCCAGCCGTCACTCCTGCCGGGCCTCCAGGCGGTCCAGTACCAGTGTCACCTGGGTCTTGGCTTCCTGCAGGAGGCTGGAGATGCGCTGGTGGACCTGATGGACGCAAGGGCGTGCTCATCACCCTGCACCTGCCACCAGAACCCTCTGGCCCTGCCCCCTCCCTGCACCCTCTCTGGCCATGCTCCCTGGCCTGTCCATTCTGGGGTGATCCTGAGCACCTGACCTGGGGACCCCCAGCTCCTCATGGGACCCTCAGTGGGGATGGGAGAGGCCCCTCTGTCCTGAGATGTGGGGACAGCCAGGCCCCAGGCCCTCACTCTCCTGGTCTTCCTACTTTAGCCTCGACTGCCAAGGGCAGGGCTGCGTCCCGAGGCCCAGAGGGGCTCACGTGGCCTGTCCTTTAACTCGCCCATGTGGTGTCCACGTGGTGGACAGTGACTTCCCTGGGTGGCCAAGCTCAGCCTGGCTAAAGCAGGCAGGTGGGGAGAAGGCCACGGTGCCCCCCTTTTGAGCCATGAAATCGCTTTTTAAAGATTATCACAAAATCACAGCGACCAATCGGTGACGGTGGGGCTGGGGCCAGGGGAGCGGAGGTCACTGCTAACGGGTGCAGGGTCTCCTTCGGAGTGATGAGAGTGTTCCAGAACTTGATGGAGGTGGTGGTCACACAACATCATAAATGTGTAAACGCCCTGAATTGTACACTTTAAGACGGTGAATCCTATGTTCTGTGTGAACTTTACAACAGTAACAACGATAAGGAGACTATCACGAGTGCTGAAGCTAAGACAATTTCGTGGGTGGCAACTGTTCTTTGAGGCCTGTGTTGCAGGTCCTATGGTCCAGCCCTCCTGGGGGACCCCAGCCCTGGGCAGCCCCATCGGGCAGGTGGGCGAGGTGGGCAGGCCGGGGTGGCCAGGCTGCAGCTCCATCAAGGGCACAGGGGCTCTGATCCCCACAGCTCCCCGGTCCCCAGACAGGACTGGCCCAGGCCCAGCCAGAGCCCCACGGGAGGGGAAGAGGGGGTGCCGACTGGTGCCTGGGCCACCTGCCTCCACAGAAACCCCGAGAGAGGACAACGGCCGTCCCCCAATGCCTGCGGTCCACAGGCCAGGCCTTGTCCACCCACAGGACGCAGGAGGAACGTCTCATCAGATGGACACTTCCCTCGAGGACCTGCTGGCCGGGGCCCCGGACCCACATCTGCAAACCACGGCCCTGAAGGCCATCTCCAGTCCCCTCTGCGGGCCCGGCCCCCATGCGCCTCCTGCTCACCTGGTCCTTAAACGCGTCATCGGTGATGTCCTTCAGGTTGATGAGCACGTTGAAATACGCACCAAACACGCCTGTCTCCAGGGCTTTGGCTGCCACCTGCAACAGCGCCAGGGCAAGGCTGGTCATCAGTGACTGGGCGGAGGGTGGGCTCACCCTGCCCACCCCCGGCACAGGGCCACAGCCTGGGGCCTCACGCCTCATCCCTAACGACAGCAAACCGAGCGGCCTGAGAGTCCCTATGAGGCGGCCCATCCAAGGAGGCCCTGGCCGCGCCCCACAGAGAGGAGTGGGCCCTGGCCTGATCCCACCCAGAGGCAGAGTTAACAACCACGGCCCGATTTCCTCCACGTTCAAGCTTAGAAAACAGGCCGCTCTCATCTGAGCATGGCACAGTCTGAGCGCACCAGCTTCAGGCCGGGCTGGGGACTACGCGTCTAAGTCACAGCCCAGCCTTGTGCCTGCAGGCCACAAGGGTCGGCGGGGGCAGGTCTTGGAATCTCCTGAGCCTGGCTTCCCGGGCATGAAGGTGACTGGAGACGAATTGAGGGCGGCGGCCAGTCACTCAGGCAGGGTGAGCATCTGCACGGTCGTCTGGGGCCAGGAGACCCATCACTGGACAGGAGCCTGGCCCTCCCTGGGGGGTTCTTAGGCCCCCCAGGCCATGAAGCGTCCAAAGGCCCACCCTCAGCTGACCACTCAACAGCCAGGCTTGAATCTGGCTGGCCTCGGCCTCCCTGACCCACGCTCGGAACGCAGCCTTTGTGTGGCCCTGGCCAGAGCTGGCCACAGGTGGGGTCCTGAACAATGAGTGAGCACAAGTGTATTAGACGTTCACAGGACCCCACGGGGCCAAGGAGATGGTCCAAGCACAGGCTGGGGCCCAAGGAGGAACCTGGGATGGCAGGAACCTCGGCCTTTGTGGCAGGTGGCTTCCGGAACATTCTCGACAACTCACAAATGACTGCCTCCCCAGGAAAGAAGGGGACACTTCTCTGGGGCCTCAGGACAAGACACTGAGAACAGGTGTCTTTTTTGTAAAACCCTGTCAACCGTGGGGCCTCAGGACGGGCTGCAAAGAGCAGAGCCTGCTCTGATGTTCCTGGTCCCGCGCCCTCCTCGCACGGGCTGTGGACAGGGCGATGTTGCAGGCCTGTGAGCTGCCTTCAGGGTTTTCTAGAACAAGCAGGCAATGAGAAGGGGGGAGGGAGAGGGGACAAGTCGCTAGGAGGAAGCCATGCGTAGGCGTGGACTATGGAGACACATTTGAGTCTCTGCCTCTCTGCCATGCAACCTGGAACAAGATCCTTAATTCCTCATCTTAAAACGGGCTAAACAAGCTGACCCCACTGCACGAGACTGGCCGAGACCACCCTGTGAAGTGCTCAAGTCCAGGCCTGGCTCAGTAAATGCCCAGTAAACAGCTGTGGTTGCCCAAGGACCCCCAACGTGCTTCCCCCACAGCAGGAGGCCAGGCCCCCTCTCGTACCTGCAGGTCCGACCGGCAGGCCAGGTTCCCACACAGGGCCAGCTCCTGCAGCGCCGGCCACAGAGAGGCCACCGTCTCCGCCAGAGCCAGGGGCACGGCCACCGCCCGCCTCAGCCCCTCCTGCAGGGCGGCCGAGCGCCTGAAACCGTGGGGGGTCGATGGTCAGAGCCCCAGGGCACCCAGGGATGGCCGACCCGCCGGACAGCTACTCTCTGAGCGGTTAATCAGGGGACACAATAGAGGAGACAGTCTTTCAACACGAACACTCCCCAGAGGGAGGAGTAAATGGGGCTAAGGTCCTTTCAAGGAACCAGGTGTCCACGGTTGGGGGCACCACCCCCGCGGCCACTGCTGCACTCACCTGTCCCTGTCCTCAGGGGTGTTCTTGGGCAGCTTCATGGCTTCCTGCCAGGACAAAGCACAGAAACGTGTGGGGTGAGCAGCGGGCGTCTCCCACGGCCACACGGAGAGCCTGGGCGGGGTGAGGGCCAGCCTCGTGACAGCACCCACGTCACCACCCCGGGAGCCGGCATTTCCACAGGGCACAGACGCACTTTGGGGACAGTGCTTCTGTGGGGTTCCACAGTTTAAAGTCTTTGGCATTGGGCCCCAGCAGAGGAGGGCGACCCGGTTCAGGGACCCCACATTGGGTGCTAAGAGACTGGAGAAGAGGGGGCGGTGCCCTCAGGGGCAGAGGGGTCCGTGAGTCCTCCAGCCCAGCCCTTCCTACAGCACCCACCAGTCACTGCTTGTGCATTAACACAGGCCACTGCGTGACCCCCCAGAGTCTAGGAGCAAAAGGTTCAGCCCCTCCTCCATTCCCGACCCAGTCCTCCTCCAGGAGTGGCCACGTCGGGATTTGTCCTCTCTGCACAATGAGCTCGCTCTCCTTGGATTGGCCACTGGTGGGTCCGGTCTCCCCTCGTCCGCACGCCCCTGTGCTGTGAGCACGGCCGTGTCCGGGCTCTCCTGTCACACCCAGCGTCGAGCCCTGCCCACCCGCAGGATTTCTGGATGGGTCTGAGGGCACAGCTGGGTGGGGACTGTGGCCAGTCAAGTCCTGTATATTTGGCCAAATCTCTGCTCAAAAGTTGCTACCAGTCGACCCTTCCCTCAGCCACGCATGAGAGCAAATGACCCCAGACCTGACCAGAACCAGATTCTGTCGTCCTGATAACTGTGGTCGATGCACAAAAGGTCCCAACTGTCCCTGGAGACTGGCCTGTCATCCGTCTCCACGACCACACATCGCTATCCAGGTGTCCGCCTTGGGGACCTGGATCAGGTCTCACACACGTGGACGTTAACCCCTGGCTGTCATCTGGCTGCAGGAAGCTTTGAGTAGCCAGACCTGGGTGTTTTGGAGTCTCCCCGGGGCAGAACTTTGCTGATCTCAGTCAAGTCCACCTTTCATGGCCACATCTGTGTCCAGCTGAGAGGCCTGCCCACCAGAGTTAGAGCTGTTTTCTAATTTATTGTGAGGTTTGTTTTGGGGGGAGGTACACAGCCAGCTTTTTATCCCACGTGGAAATTATTTATGTATTTGGGGCAAGGAAAGGATGTTTTCTTAATTTTTTCTCAAGTCCTTCTTCTTGCTGCTCTCAGGGAACATAACCAACACGGTACTGACCCCCTCGCGTCCACGTGCAATTGTCCACCAGGCATCCCTCACGCTCACACTGTATTCTAGGTTTTCTCTCAGCCACACATCTTTGCTGATTGCTTTCCTTTTCCTTTCATGCCTTTTGATTAGATTTCCATTTTCTACTCCCTCTCCAGTTGTTTTCTGTTTATTCATCTCATTTCTCATCTCCAGTAGGTAGCCACACTTTTTTAATATTTGTATTTAAACTGATGTTTCTCCTTAAACACCTCTCAACATCTGAAGTTCATCAGACCATAAAAGTCTAGAAAGCACCATGGGAGAAGTTCAATACGCTTGGCCTGGGGGCCATTTAACCATGACATGAAACCCAGACAAGAGCAGATGAAAGACTGAATATTCGGCAACAAAAACACAAAGCTCT